GACATGATGGAGGTTTATAAGATTGTGCATGGGAAAGAGCAGGTAGAAAAAGAGGTACTTTTCTCCCTTTCTTACAATACAAGAACTCGTGGGCACTCAATGAAATTGCTGAGCGGTCAGGTTAGAACGGATAAGAGGAAGTACTTCTTCACCCAAAGAGTGATTAACACTTGGAATTCACTGCCACAGGAAGTGGTGGCGGCTACAAGCATGGACGGCTTCAAGAGGGAATTAGATAAGCATATGGAGCAGAGGTCCATCGGTGGCTATTGGCCACAAGGTATAGATAGGGACTCTGGGGCAAGTGATGTTATGTATTCTTGGTGCTGGGGGGGGTCAACAGTGGGAGGGCTTCTAGTGTCCTGGCCCCACTGCTGGACCTCCTGAAGGCACCTGGTATTTTTGGCTACTGTGTGACAGAGTGTTGGACTGGATGGGCTATCGGTTTGATCCAACATTCTCTTATGTTCTTATGATTAGCAGAGATGTCTGTCCTTTCCATTGTGCTAGCTTTCTAAACAGGGCACAGAAGCCCCATTGCTGTCTCTGTGTATCTAACAAGCCTTCCTCTCCCAGAGTGGTGTCCACGGGGTCTAAGTGGCTGAGCTTGCACTGGTTTTAATAAGATGCCATGAAAAAGCTGGGTAGGGAAGCGACCCGAAGAGGGGTCTTCTCCCAAGCTAGCGGCGCCTTTAATTCCGTAAACATTGGTGCATATTGCTCTCATTGCAAATTCTAGTAGTGAGGATCGAAAACTGAGCAGCTGACATTTTGAAACATTGTCTTTCAAACTTGTACTGTCCCTTGCAGTCATTGATTTCCCATTTAAGGGATCTGCAAGAGAAAAACAAATTTGAGTGAAGTTCATTGGCCTAAGATGAACGTGCTAGAGTAAAATGATACCTCCATCCCTGTTCCCTCTCTTTCTGTAGCTGAGAATAACTCTGCTTTTATTAGGAATGCTATACATCTTTGTGCTGCTGTCTAGATCGCATGGTAAATTGGCTAAGTAAATCAGAAAGTTGTTAAGAAGCTGTGTGGGGATGTTCTGAACACGGACATTCAGTCTCTTAGTTGTATGGCTTTATTTTCCAAGAAAAATAATTTAGCTAGTTTTTCTCCCTCATTTTGAGTCCATAGTGTTCTGTGTTTCATTTTCCAGATAATATAGACAGGGCTTTTCTGGGAGAATATCAACCTTTGATGGCAATAACCAGTGGATTAATTTTTGTTGAGTTGGAAAAGAAGTATAATTCGGAAAACACTGATTTATCTTCAGTTACATTTATTTCCTTAAAGGCTTGTGTTGAAAGAGATGATAAATACTAAAATCTATCTATGTGTGAAATATAGTTGCGCATGAACACACACACACAAACACGCTTATGTATTTTTCATCTGTTCCTAAAACTCCATCCATCCCTAGGGCTTATGGTGGGTGGTGATTTTGTTAAGGCTGAGTGTTAAGTCGCTCGAATACATTACACTGAGCAAGATAAAATACCTAATTAAAAATATAAATAGTTACTCATGGCCGCGATCTAAAGAGTCACCCAACTCACTCACTGTGCCAAAGAGTTCTTTTGAGACTGCTTCTCACTCCGTCCCTTCTATGTCATATGGCAAAACCTTTTTCGAAACTTTCAGAAGTTGCTAGCGAATTTCAGAAGCGTGGAAAGATGCGGGAGGCCTGCACTTGAAATACCAACTCGGAATTACAGCTACCCCTTCCCCACGGTTGTGCAGACCTAAAGGAGCTCTTTCAAACCAGGCCTGCATATAAAGAGGTTAATGATGAATCCATTCATTTGAACAGTGGATCCCTCCTTCAAAGGGAGTCATAGCTGGGAAGTTCCTTTCAAGATTAGCAAAAGAAGTCAGTGACTGCAATGCCAGCCGGACAGTTCTTCTTTGGCTTGGCTTCGATAGAGTGTTGAGTCAGTGAGCCAAAAAGTTGTCATGGTGCCATCTGTTAGGAAAGGACTGGGGGGGGGAGAGAGCGGAGTTGAATTTGCAAGGAACAAGCAAATGCATCCCCACTTAGAATGCTAATAGCTCCCTCTGCAGAGGAAGAGTTTATAAGCAATTCATCCAGGATGAGGAGGTTGACCAACAAGATATTCACTTCCTGGTAAAACACAAGCAGCTCTTTGCTGTGTTTTCATATAAAGAGAAATGTGATCACACTTTGGCCATCACAGAGGCATCATCTTGGAAGTCGTTTTCTATTGGAAACCTTTCTTATAAAACAAATAAAACAATTATTTCACTGTTTTCTTTGCACGTGTGTGTATGTGAAAAATTACTTTCAATGGTTGTGCTGGGAGTTTGGCCCCTATCTTGCAGAATGAGCCTTTGGGAATTTTCCCTGGCTGTGTTTTTTTCCCAGTTCTCCTAGCGAGTTTGCCATATGTGCAGCCATAAGATACCCTTCCCAAACAGGCAGACACGTTGCACTTATATCCTCTTCTCTTCTTTACACAGTTGACGTTTGGAATTCATTGCCACAAAGCGTCATGGGAGCCCTTGAGTTAGACACATTTGCGATGCTTTGTTGTTACCAGAACTATTAGCCGTGATGGCTAAATGAAACCATATGTTGGGGTCCAACGACAGGGAATGGGCCTTCATGCTCTGCATCCCACAGGCTTCTGTTGCCACCCAGATGCTAGACTGGATGGCCCATTCGCCTAACCTAGCAGGGCTCCTCTTTGGCTAGGTTTGTCTTGCAATTCACCAGCTCCTGCCCCCCACCCCCATCATTATTGGGCCAGCTTGTGTTGCTGGAATTATTTTGTGCCAACTCATATTGACGTAAAGACCCTTGAGAGACTTGCTTTTATTGCCTTTGCTTCATTCCCCCCTCTCAAAGTTCATTCTTCTCTTCCCCCTCCGAATAAACTTTTCTAAAACGTGTATACACATTACTAAAAAAATATCAGTTTAGTTAATTTGGTAACTTTATTTCATTGTAAATGTGTCTCTTATAAATTATCATAACCCACCCACGTCTTTTCTGTATTGCATGAAATGTTCTGAAACTTGACCAGTCAATTGATTTTCTTTGGAGTGGACATTACCAAGCCCTAATTTCCTTATATTGAGTGCTGTAGGAGGAGAAATGTGCATTGATAGGCAGAAAATAGACTTGCAATTGGCATGGCTTTCTCAACATTGCGACTAGAAGACCTTTAAGATGTCCGGTTTCACTAAGCATTTTTGCATAGAGCAGCACAAGGAACGGAACGGTTCCATTGTCTCCTGGCAACTAAAATACTTACTTGAAAGGAAGTTGGCCATGTTGATTTGATTATGGCAGCAGAGATGCAGTACATTTTCTCTGATTAGTTTGTACCCTTAGCTTATTGGGAACACTATAATTCAGTATTTTGGAAGTTCCAGAGAAGCTGCTCTAGGTGTTCCTTTTTCATGGTTCCCACCCTCCCTCTTCACTTTACATTGGGTTGGCACCTGCAGATCCGTTCTGCTGACAGTGGCATTTTCCTTTGGCGCAAAGAACCTTCCGTAGGTACAAGAGTCAGCAGAAGCTCCTTTGCCAGTGGAAAACACCACCATTAGTGGAGTGGATGCTTGGGATCCAATCTAGCAAAGTGTTATCCAGCACTTGATTATCCAGAACACTCCATTAACTCGCATCACCAGCCACCAACCCACACTCCTATCTCTCCAGCTGGTCAGTTTGGTGCCTGTAACAGTTGTTGGCCTTCTGACAGGTGGTACTGCCTGATGACATCATCCTCATGTGCCTCTTTACCCTTCAGCCTACCTTGAGCTGTTGGGAACGAGCTCTGGCAGAGGGCTCCCTGGTAGCCAGCTGACTTACCTGTCGGCTGTGTAGGATGGCTCTGTGGCTCAGGGGAGATGGGGAAGTGTCCCACCAGGCATGGGGGCAGTCGCCATGGGATTCCCAATGGGTAACGGTGGATTCCTTTGGGCAGGGACTGGTACAGGACAATAAGCTTTTTCGAATAACCAGCAGCCCCATTCCTCAGGAGTGCTGGGTAATATAGCTTTTATGTAATTAGAGGGAATTGGAGCAAATAGACCACATCCAGTAAATTTAAACTACCTGTGTAGTTGCAAGATTGTAATACCAGAAAATATGATGGGGTGGTGGGGGGGAGGGTTATAGCTTCCGCTAAGATAGATTTTCTTTTCCAGCACTTAGAGGTTCTTTAAACAATAACTGAGCCGTTGTGATTCTCTGTTTAGCAAGGGCTGGTGTAGCTTTTTGTTTAATAAAAGAATTGTCCTTCACCAAGCTCCCCTTGTACAGCAGAGCGCTATTTCTTTTGCTAAAAATCTCAATGGAATGTGTTCAGATAAGGAATAGCAGAAAGCTAAATGGGCATCTCCTTGGTTGATAGCTGGTGTCGCAGGCACAAATGCACCTGTTAAGAAAAATCCTATAGTTTCTGGAAAGGTGCCTACTTGTGGTGGGTGGGTTTGCTAAAAGACCCCAAAATGTCGCATATTAAGTTATCGGTATTCACCCAAAGCCATGGATTGGAGGAGAAAGCTTGGCCCATGGCTCGGTGCATTCTTGTTAAAATAAACTTTTGGTTTGGGGCTCAGTCAGTGTGTGTGCACTGTATAAATGCTGCTAAGGACTAAAAAGCCAGTTTGGTGTCATGGTTAAGTGGCACAGACTCTAATCTGGGAGAGCTGGGTTTGATTCCCCACTCCTCCACTTGCACCTGGCTGGATGACCTTGGGCAAGCCGTAGTTCTGATAAGAGCTGTTCTTGAAAAAAGAGCAGTTTCTGCCAGAGCTCTCTCAGCCCCACCTACCTCACAGGGTGTCTGTTGTGGGGAGGGGGGAAGGGAAAGGAGTTTGTAAGCCACTCTGGGACTCCTTTGGGTAGTGAAGGGCGGGGTATAAATCCAATCTCTTCTCTTCTTCTTCTCTTCTAAAACGGGGAGAACTTTGCCTTTTGACGGTCTGTTTGCTGACTCCCGTCCACCCTGTTTTTCTCCTAGTTGCAGTATCATGCAGGACTGGCGTCTGGCCTGCTGAATCAGCAGTCCTTGAAGCGGTCTGCGAACCAGATGGGAATGTCTGCCAAGCGAAGGCCAAAGGCCCAGCCAACCACCCTCGTGCTCCCTCCTCAGTAAGTAGGGAAGGGTTTATTAAAAATTAGTTTTTAACTATGCTTTTAGTGGGGGGGGGCATTTGAGCACTGCAGTTAACTACTGGTTTGGGAATTCTGACATATGGACTGTTCACTCTTGGTGTTCTGCCAAAGTGCATCGATAATGATCTGCAGAGGGAGGGGAAGGAATAGTCTGGCTGGAATCCACCGAATCACCCAGTGCACCTTCACAGGCCCAAGGAGTCTTCGGGCTTCCATCTGACAGAGCAGTTGTCTCGGATGCTATGTGGGAGGCCACTTTTTAGGGGACTTTCCACAGACAGAAGAAAATTCTGCTCCTAAATCACTCTTTGGGTCATAGATTTCGGCTTTATTGGGAGGTTGTTGGGTTTTCTTTCTGGCTTTTATTTCCCAACTGTGCTTGGAAGGGTGCCCCCCCCCCCCCCCCCCGCTAATCCAAGATGAGAGAGCCAGAACTGAACTTTTGGCTGTATTCCTTCGGAATTCTATCTCCCCACCACTACCAATTTTGTAAGAGTCTGCTTGTTCACCATATGAATTTTGTGTGTGTGTGAGGTTAAAGACACTCTTTTTACAGGTTGCAAGCAATTGTGCTGGTAGTCAGTAACTGTAAGGGCACCAGCAGTCAGCAATTTAGATGGTCCAGTGTTGATGCCAAAAAAACCCCCCAACAACTGACAACAACTGAAAGCCCACACAATAAACCTTATAAATTAATAAGCATCCTGAAATATTTAGAAACATATATAAGGAAATTATTACAACAAGAAGTGAACCTGAGGCACCAACATGGTGCTCTAAACATCCTCGTTTCTGAAATACCCTGTTTTACAGAACTAGGTTAATTGAGGTATAACCCAATGTTATTGACATGGGTTTCCTATAATCAGCATCCTTCTTGTGTACAGCACCAATAACTCTAATCTATTTTGGGGAGGGATGGAGCGAATGCCACTGGCCTTTCCTCTTTTTCTATTAAGTCATACGGGTCTACTTATATAGCATTCCATGAGTTTTTGAATCTCTCTTACCAGTATATCTAAACAGCTAAAATTCTTGAGTAATACAAGCCCTTCCAAATTTAAGGAGAGAACGCAGTACCTTTGTTAATGCTTGTGTTCTCCTTGCCGCCATGGGAGAACGGAAGGAAGAACTTGTGTGGGAGAGGAGAGATTCTTGATACTGTGTTGTGCTACTGATGTTGCGTGCCACACACACAAAATGTCCTCATTCCCTCCTGCAGTTTCCTTTAAACCTGCTGTTGTATGGCACCTGGGTTGGTATTAAACAAGATTCATTATGACCAATGTTTGAAGTGCGATTCAGGTGACTGCAGGGGCAATTCTGACTAACCCTGGGTAGTGCTGATGCTGCAGGCCCAAGACTAAGCCAGCAAAATTAAGAGATCAGGGACAAGGTGTTGACACTGGCAGGAGTTTAATAAGCAACATTAAGAACATAAGAGAAGCCAATGTTGGATCAGGCCAGTGGCCCATCCAGTCCAACACTCTGTCACACAGTGGCCAAAAATACCAGGTGCCATCAGGAGGTCCAGCAGTGGGGCCAGGACACTAGGAGCCTCCCCCCCCGTTGCCCCCCCCCAAGCACCAAGAATACAGAGCATCACTTGCCCCAGACAGAGAGTCCCTATCTATACCTTGTGGCTAATAGCCATTGATGGACCTCTGCTCCATATGTTAATCTGATTCCCTCTTGAAGCTGCCCATGCTTGTAGCCGCCGCCACCTCCTGTGGCAGTGAATTAACAGTGTTTAACGGGCACCTTTGAGCAAATTCAGAAATTGTAATGTTTTCATTGTCTGAGTTGTGCAAAGGACACCCTGATGGTAGGATTATAAATTTTAAAATTCCAACCTGAAAGGGTTCCTGTCCTCTTGACCCTCCCATCAAAGAAGCTTGTTTGGTGGGTACACAAGAGAGGGCTTTTTCAGAGGCGGCCCCATGATTAGTGAACAACCTCCCCAGAGAGGTGCGCCTGGCCCCCTTCACTTTTCCATCTTTAGGAGGCAGCTCAAGATGGTTTTATTTAGGACTGCATTTGATTAAACCAGTCCTAAATTGTGCTTTTAAATTTGGGGTTTTATGTACTTTTATGTAATCTATTTTGTGTATTTTATATGCATTATAAGCTGCCTTGAGGAAAAAAGACAGCTAATAAAAATATGGTAGGTTGTAACTAAAAGCAGGGCAATACAGTGTCTTGATTTGTAAACCCTGGAAATATTGGTATCCGGTGGCTGTCTGTTTCATAGGTGGACATGTGACTGAAGAATGTTTGGGAAACAGTGCAAATCAGGGGTGTACAAAAAAAGGTATTTTGGGGGGTTTGGTCTACTGAACCTGAAAAATATCGGTGTTTTCTGATATCCCCAATACTGATATTGGGATTCAGGAAATAATTGGGATTGCCAAATTTATTTGGCTCCCCCAAGCTCAGCAGGATGCTCCTCGTGGCCCGACTGAGGGCTGCTGGGAGCAGGGGGCGGGGCTTGCTGCATGTGCCTGTCCCCGGGCTCGGAAGCCAGCCGGAACTCGGTTCCTGTGTGTTCCTGCCCCAAAATAGCCCTGCCCTAGTGCAAATTGCTGATTGCTGAGGTAGCCATAGCTGACTCGGTAATGACTGTAGTACAGTTCTCAAGAGAGATTACAGAAGCAGTTAAAATACATTGTCCCCTCTAACACGGATCACAGATTAGAGAGAAGCGTATAAATGTCCCTGCATTGTGTGTTTCTGGATGATTTAAAGTTGCTTTGACCAGGGAACATTGTTAATTATCTACATTTTATTTATCAACATTATTTGGGGGGGGGAACTGCTTTTATTGGAATGTTTCATTGTGTCTTTTGGGGTGGACTGTAATTTTCAAAACTAAAATGCCCAACTAAAATAAACCTTATAAAGCACGTATCCCTGTTAATAATCGGCCTTCCGAGACAAGTGCTTCAGAGAGCAACTCTCCTGGGTAAAGGAGTTGCATACTTGTGGCGACACAGTAACTGAGATTTGATGTCCACCTACTGATGAAGTAAGTCATCAAATGGGTGGCATTGATTTTTGACTGCATCACCATTCAGAAGAGCATTTTATCTGTTTTGTTTCAGAAACTAGATACCAGTGCGTTGAACATACAACGCTGGCATGTTGAAAGCTTTGGTTTGAGGTTTTAATATTTTGATTCTGATGAAGAAACTTGTGTTTTTGACCGGACCTGCAAACTTTCCTATTCCAGTACAGGAGCTGCATGTACTGGTTAAGTGCGTGGACTCTAGTCTGGGAGAACCGGGTTTGATTCCCCACTCCTCCACTTGCAGCTGCTGGATGGGCAAGCCATAGTTCTGTTAGAGCTGTCCTTGATAGAGCAGTACTGTCAGAGAGCGCTCTCAGCCCCACCCGCCTCACAGGGTATCTGTTGTGGGGAGGGGAAGGGAAAGGAGTTTGTGAGCCGCTCTGAGACTCCGAGTGAAGGGCGGGGTATAAATCCAGACTTCGAGGTATAAATCCAGACTTCTTCTTCTTCTTCTATCTTCGGTTCTTACTGGGTTTGAGAACTGGGAATATTTTTCAGTAGAGCCATGAGCGCATTCTGGATCCTTCAGGAGGTGGCAGGGTTAGCTTGCATGTCATTCTCGCAGGGAAGACATGTTGGAGTTTCTGTATTGCTGGGATTTCCAAAGTGCCCACCCCACACCTTTCCTGGTGCCCATCAACTGTTTTTAGAATGTGGATGGGGCCATGCCGGACTTTTCCCGGCAAGGCTTCTGACTGGCCATTGGGTATTTGATTGGTCGTGCAGGTTTTTAAAAATATTGCTCTGGCAGCAGCTTGCCACCACAGCACAAGGATCTCCACTGTGTGACTGAAAGTAAGCTTATGGTAGCCATTTTCTGGCTGGCTGCACTCCTGCAGCAGCTGTTTTGTGGCGGCCGTTTTGTGGCGGGGCCCACCAGGCTGCATCAGAAGTTGCGAGGTGCCCGCAGGCTCAAAAAGATTGGGGATCCCTGGAGTACACCACAGAACATGACTGGCCACCAAGCTGCCTCTGTGCTTTCCCATTCCTCGGCCCCGTGGTATACCATTTTTCTGCTGGATGCTCACAGCCTTAATGGAGCCATCAATCAAGTCTTTGGCCAGGATTCCCCTGGAGGAGCGGATCCTCAAACCTGCCAGATGTTACAACTATGGAAGTGTTCCTTGTAGCATTTGGGTTCTTCCTTGTAGACAAGAGGATCTAAGTCCACACAAACGCCATGAATTCCAAATCTACTTCAAGGCTTGATTTCTTATCCTACTTTGCTATCCTACTTTGCTATCCTATTGCAAACTATGGTTTATGAATTCAGGTATCTCGGTAGAACATTAAAAATAGCTTGGTTTCCTTATCCAGGACCCGGCTTGATATTTGAATCAAGTCATTGGGATGCTTTTGTGGGCAGCTGAAGAACTGTCCGCTTCTGTCGCTGGTTAGTCAGTAACCCTTTGTCGGCTTGAATTCCCTCCATATTGATAAGCTTTACAAAAGCCCACCTCTTTCATCAATGGTCATCACAGGTTTTTGTTGTTGCTGCTGTTTGTGAGGAGGGAGACTGTCAAACTGGTTATACTAGTCCCTTTATTGACTTAATTTAATTTCTGACATAAGTACAGTAATGTAGGAGCTGCGGTGGCTCAAGTGGTTAAGACGCTGAACTGCAGGCTGTAGAAGGTCAGTAGTTCAGCAGTTCGAGACCTGGGTGCCGCATGATGGAGTGAGCTCCCATCTCTAGCTCCAGCTCCTGCCAACCTAGCAGTTCGAAAGCAAGAAATTGCAAGTAGATAAATAGGTACCACTTCAGTGGGAAGGTAACAGCGTTCCGTGCACCTTGGTGTTTAGTCATGCCGGCCACATGACCATGGAAACGTTTTCGGACAGCGCTGGCTCTTCGGCTTTGAAACGGAGATGAGCACCGCAACCCTAGAGTCGGATTCGACTGGCTTTC